GGGGGGGGGGTGGTGCAGGATGAAACGAGGGCCACAATCTGGGCTGCACACCCCAACATCCATTAGTAGGAACCAAGATTAGCTGTTTTCTAACTGCTCCACAGAGCCCTTGGGTTCCAAGAAGGTGCAGCGGGTAAGAAACTACTCTTCCTGGATGTGTTTCAGTTTCTGCGAAGGTCCCGCATATTTCCTTGAAAGAAAAAGCTCTGCTGCTGGTTTGTAAATGCTCCTACAGCACCTCCTGTTTCTCCTTTGGGGTGCTGATCACAGAATTTAAATAATTAGTTGTGTACTAATCTAATCTGGACAATAAATCCCCAAAGGGCAGGAACCATGCCTGTCTTGTTTGCTGCTCTATGTCCAGCACATTTACATAGTAGGGGCACAAGATCTGTTGAATGAAAGGATGCCCCCGGCGTCGGAACACTGGGAAAGTTGCTCAAGCTGCAAATTTCTCAGCTCTGCCTCCAAACACCAGTCCTCTAGTAGGTTCCAAGGCACAAAAAGTTGGAGAACCACTTCATTCCACTTGTCCCAGGGCTCTGGTGAATGTTGGGAACCGCTGGAAGAGAATCACCCAGCTCCTGCCTCTATCCATTATCAGCAGTCCTCGATCCCAGCACGGCTTCAAAAGCCAAACATAGAATCAAGCCCCAGGCAACCTTGAACAAACTCCAGCCTGGACAGCTGTGCCCAGGTCCTGGAGTGCAAGATGCAGAAGCCTAAAACAGATTCATTAGATCCAATCTGGAGCCCAGAGTGGTTTTCAATTCCACATGCAAATTAATTTGAACATAAAAAAAAATACAGATTGAGGGCTTAGGGAGCTTGGGGACAAAAACAATGATCCAAAATCAGACTGACAAGAGTTCAAGTCCTAAGTTGGGTGATGTTGGGCAGATATCTAAATACCGAATGGCTCACTGGTGCTAGGTGCCAGGCACCTGAACTATGCTAGGTGTTTTTCATGCACTAGTTAATCCACACAACCCTCCTGTGCCCCTAGGTATTGAGAATGGAACTAATTTGCTTATGGTTGAGACAGACATTAAATATCAAAGCTGGAACTTGAACCTGGGTGTCACTGCTAAGCTGGTGCTCTGCAGACTCTCACTTGAGGTTCTTTTTCCACATGTGTAAAATGGGAACACCACTCCTTTCTCACAGGGTTGTGAAGATTGAGATAGTAAATTTGAAAGCATTTGGCAAGGGGCGCCCGGGTGGCTCAGTCGGTTAAGCAGCTGCCTTCAGCTCAGGTCATGATCCCAGGGTCCTGGGATCGAGTCCCGCATCAGGATCCCTGCTCAGTGGGGAGTCTGCTTCTTCCTCTGCCTCTGCCCCTCCCCCCTGCTCATACTCTCTCTCTCTCAAATAAATAAATAAAAATCTTTAAAAAGCTAAAAAAAAAAAAAAGGAAACATTTGGCAAAAAACATTCAATAATGAGACCTGGAGAACTGAAGACATATTGTCTGTTTTTATGGCAGAGGAAACTTGAGGGTCAGTGAAATTAATCAACCCTCCCCCGCAACTCAGGGATAGTAAGTGGCTAAGTCAGGACCAGAATCCAAGTTTTCTATTCCAATCTGTTTTGTTCTCTCACACCCTCTCAAGTGACGTTAGAAGGAAGATCAAGTAGATAGAACACCACAAAAATGAAAAGGGGAAAGGGAAAGGGAATGTGAATTTAATCAGGGGAGGCTTCCTGGAGGAGACCTAGTTTTCATTTTATGACAGCAGTGTTTAGAGGAAGTGGGAAGCCAACAGAAGAGGTCTTGGTTTAGTCATAATGTGGTTTCCCTGATATGCTTACTATAATTCCCAGTGCCCAGAGAAGCTAAGAAGGTTGACCAAGATCACACCGCTACTAAATGGGTGCTGGTACAATGTGGAGGTCACAGCTAACCCTTTTGAGCTGGTTCTGTCTCCTTGGTGCTGGAGAAGTGATGAGAAGCCCGGAAGCATGTGGATGGGCAGGGGACACAGGGGGTTCCCAGAGATTCTCAAAAGCCTCCCTCTGTGACAGGGGGAGCCCTGTAGCGGGAAAAGCAACAAGGTAAAATGCTGAGGCCTCGGGGTCAGGGGGACCCTGGCTGGAATCCCGGCTCCACCTGTGTGGCCTCAGCAATGTCACTTTACCCCTGGGTCTAAATTCTCCTGCAAATTCAGAAAAATGGCCTCCAAATACCCAGCACCAGGCTTAGTGAGAAAAATAACATGGCCATTATTCTTCCACAATGCCGGGCCAGCCACAGATGGGTGGCAGGGCCGGGCACCCAAGGGACAGAATAGACTTTTAATGCCAACCACTCCCCACCCTGCGGTCACTGGACACAAGTGCCCAGCAGGGGAAGGGGCAGCAGGTCAGGTCCATGATGCAACCACAGCTCACTGCTGCTGCTTAGAGATGAACCATGACCCTTGCAAATGGAAAAACAGCCCATTAACAAGAAGTACAAAACAAAACCTCAGTGAACTTTTATTTTTCATCATACAGAACTCGTAGCAAAGCCAAAGATTTCTGCACTTGGAACACTAAATCCCCCTCCCTACCCACCCTGGGGGGACATTTACAGAGTCGTCATGTCCCTTCTAGAATCCAAACCCCAATGCTGGGGCCTCTTCCCTCCTGCCCAGCTTCATCGCAGGGAGGGCTCTGAGGCCCGCAGGGGGTGCCAGTCGCTTCCCCATGCCTGCACGGGTGTGAAATGTGGCACGCTGACCAGGCTCCTCTCCTGCCCCTCTCCAGAGAGCAGGGTCAGAAGCAGCAGCAGCATGACCCCTGCCTTTCTTCAGTCACCTCCAAACTGGTCAGAGGGGACACATACTGTCAGAAGAAGGGCAAGGGATGTCATCATTCACAGCTTATTTGCTACAGAAAAGTGCCTGGGATGGGTCCTTGGCTGCTTCTGCGTCCAAGCAATCCACCTAAAATCGAGATGGGGGGATGGAAACGGGGGTGGGGGGGTGGGGGGCTGTCCTAGGAAGGTGGCAGGGTAGAGATGGCCTGCAAGGCTGGGCTATCCCTTACAGGCCTTTGAGATTCTGCAAGATGTGCAGTTTGTTGCTGGCAGGTTGGCCTGAAAAGCCGAGAGTAGACTCAGGCATCACAGACAATCTCAGCCCCCAGCCCGCAACTATCTATACGGAGGTCGAAGAGGTTTGGCAACATAGCCATGGTCACCTGGCCAGTTTGGGCACAACCCAAACAAGAACCCTGGGGTCTCCTGACTCTCCCTGAGCCCCTGCCTCGGAAGCCACCCAGAAAGGCTCACTTGATGGGAAAGGTGTGTGGCAGCGCCGTGGGAGATAGGAGAGTGGGGTGCCAGCCTCTGCAGGGCCGGCGCGGTTCTGGGGAGAACAGACTTCTCCCTGTCCTCCCCTCAGGCGTTGACTGTGGCTATTGAGGTAAGATAGCCCCTGCAGAACCTCCCCTATAAAGAACCCAAATACAGAGAACTGGTAATACCCCCTCCTCTTCAGAAGGCAAGGGGACCCACAGACACCCCAAACTCTCTAGGAATAATCTACTTCTTTGATGTGCTTGGTGTCTCTTCTGGGGCCTCCCCCCACCAGGCAGGGGAGAAATGCGGAAGAGGGTGAAGGGGAGGTCAAAGGAGCTAAACCAGGATTAGGGCAACCAGGGCAAAGGGGCCTTCAGGCTGCCTGACAGAACAGGCTTCTGGGGAGCAGAACACACAGACCAGCTGTGACACTGACTTTCACACTGATGGGTGAAGGTAACGAGGGGGAAGGTAATGAGATCTGGGAGCGAGGGAGGAGGAGGAAAGGCAAAGCTGCTTGGAGTGTCAGTCCCTGGAGGTCCCTGCCCCTCTCCCTCGGGGCCAGTCAGGGACTTCCCAGTCCAGGAAGGCCCAGTACTGGTGATGCCTGCGGCCCAGCCTGCTGGCACATGAATCTGAGCTCAGCTCGTTTCCCTTCCTGTGCCCTCTGCCTCTGGGGTCAGGGGCAGGAAGGAGGGCACGGTCCCTGGGGATCTGCTAGTCGTCTTCCAGCTCCCAGGGCAGAACTGAGATCCCAGAGTCAGTGCAATGATCCTGTCCATTCCAGTGAAAGAAAAGGAGGGTACGGCTCAGGGGCTGCACGTCACACACAAGCCCACCTTCCAGAGTGGGCTGGGAGGGCCTGGGACAGAAAGGGATCGGGGTCTGTCTCCAGACAGAGAAGTCCTTGCAGGGAGGAGAATGCCCCCAGGGGCAGCTGCTCCGGGCCCAGATCCTGCTCGCAGTCAGGTCATGTGACGGGTGATGGCGCGGAGGGCATAGAGCAGGGCGGCCTGCATGCGCGCCTCCAGGAGCAGCAAGTTCACATGGACCTGGGGCACAGACAAGGACTTGTTGGCCACTGATGTCACTCCTGGCCATCCCCATCCTTCCCAGACCGCCACGTTCCCGGACCACCTGCCTCATCCTTCTCTCCCAATACAGACGCCCCTAACGGTCGTTCCTAAGGCTCTGAGCCCTTCGGTGCAATGGCAGCTCAGGAATTTCAAACCCATTCATCCCTATCCTGACTAATCTCTTTATCTCACAAAACTAAAAACAAGAGCTGGCTCTGGGCACTCATGTTCTCATTTCACCCTCTCAGCAACCTTGAATGCAGGCAGCGTTTGCTCTTATTGTAAAGATAACAAGCTCAGGGGCGCCTGGGTGGCTCAGATGCTTAAGCATCTGCCTTCGGCTCAGGTCATGATCCCAGGGTCCTGGGATCGAGTCCCACATCGGGCTCCCTGCTCCTTGGGAGCCTGCTTCTCCCTCTGCCTCTCTCTCTAGCTCTCTCTCATGAATAAATAAATAAAATCTTTAAAAAAAAAAAAGATAACAAGCTCAGGGGGCAAAGTGATTTGCCCAAGGTCACCATGCTACTGAGCGATCATGTTCGCACTTGAACCCAGGTCCTCCTGGCTGCCTGCTGAGGACCCTGTGAGGCACATTCCCATTTTACAGGTAAGTAAACGGAGTCGGAAATCACACCGTCGAGTAGGACTTGAACACACCCAAGCGTCCCAAGCGGCAGAAGACTCAGTCTGGGATACCACATTGGGTCCTGACCCCCTCTCCACCCCCAAGGGCTGTACCTTCTCTGAGTGGCGGAAGTGCCTCCAGAAGAGGTTGTACATTCTTCGCGTGGTCTTCTCAGGATAGCAGGCCACCGTCTTGATATAGACCTTGAGGTTCCGTTCCAGGAGCTGGTTCACCTCCCCGTAGTCATAGTCATCATATCTGGATGGGAAGGCCCCGACAGCATCACTCTCCAAGTGACTCCTCTCCCCTACCCCCACCCTACAGAAGGAGGAACAGAGTGTGGCAAGAAAAAGTAGAAAGTAGGAAGCAAGTAGGAGCTTGGTTCCTCTTACAAAAATAGCTGATGTCATACATCGCAGGCCACTAGATTGGCCAGGGACCACTCCAAAGAATGCAGAGAATGAGCGTGTTGTATTGAGTACCAGCCGTGTGCTGTGTGGACAAGGACTCAGGGAATCCTCAGAAGTACTAGCTACGGTGTCTACAGAACTATTACATGTAATACACCGCTTTCATCAGCCCCGTTATTTTATAGTTGAAAGGGAGATTCAGAGAAGTGAAATCACTTGTCCTGGGAATGGAATTCAAACCCAGCTCTGCCCAGCTCCAAGGTCATATTCGTTATAGTAAAGGCCATGGAAAAGGAAGAGAGAAAGGGAAAAAGAAGTAGTACCCATTTCACGGATGGACAAACTAAGGCCTGGAAAAGGCAATTAACTTGCTCAAAGTCAAAGAGCAAGTTGGTGACAGGTCTAGAAGTCACTTTGTCACTCTCCAGTCCAGTGAGTCAGTGAGTCATCACAGATTGGTGTGGATGGGGAAGACTGATTGAAAACCAGGGGACAGACTCAGTAGACAAAGGCACAGGAACGAGGACCATGTTGGAGAACGGGGGGTCTGGATCTGGGAGGTGGGCAGAAGCAGCCTGGGCCACACTCTAGGATGCCTGTCCCTCCTCCAGCTCCCTGGGACTGGGAAACTATCAATGACCTGCAAGAGGATGGCCAATTAAGCACAACCGAATCCACTCAGTGAAATAGAATTTACAGCTAGTAATACAGAAACACACATTTTCTACAGGGAACATGGACCTTTCTGAAAATTTGGGATTTTTTTTTTTTTTTGATGCTTGGAATAAACCATTGAATGAGAAAAGCCAGATCATGTGTTCATTAAAATATGTGCACATTTGATTAAATGAGTGAAAAACGTGAAATGAGGAGGGAGAAAATCTTGTGTTTGTAAAACTATCTTTTTTGGTTATTTGTGTGCGCAAAAAAGGAGAGAAATACTTGACAATAATAAGAGCAGACGGGATCACAGATGATCTTTATTTTCTTCTTTCTGTTATTCCTGTTTCCTAAATTTACTATAAATCTAGCTGTTTCTCTCTAGAAACATCAAACATACTTTTTTTTTTTTAAGATTTTATTTGTTTATTTGACAGAGGGAGAGACAGCGAGAGAGGGAACACAAGCAGGGGGAGTGGGAGAGGGAGAAGCAGGCTTCCCGCTGAGCAGGGAGCCCGATGCGGGGCTCGATCCCAGGACCCCGGGACCATGACCTGAGCCAAAGGCAGACGCTTAACGACTGAGCCACCCAGGCGCCCCCAAACATACATTTTTAAAAATGTAATAACCAGGGTGCCTGGGTGGCTCAGATGGTTAGGCGTCTGCCTTCAGCTCAGGTCATGATCCCAGGGTCCTGGGATTGAGTCCTGCATTGGGCTCCCTGCTCCTTGGGAGCCTGCTTCTCCCTCTGTCTCTCTCTCTCTCTGTCTCTCATGAACAAATAAATAAAATCTTTTTTAAAAAAATGTAATAACCATTATAACTCCAACTACACAAAAGCAACTACATTAGAAAGAAGAAAAGCAATGGAGAAAGAATGTCACAGGGTGTGGATGTGGTTGTGAAGTAGCTGAATTTGGAGAAAGGTTTTTTTGGTTCCTTAATTCTTTGACTTTCCCACAATGTTATCAGAGTGAGATTTATTCAAATAAAAAAAAAATTGGTCTGGGGGCACCTGGGTGGCTCAGTCAGTTAAGTGTCCGACTCTTGATCTCAGCTCACTTCTTGATCTCAGGGTTGTAGGTTCAAGCCCTGCATTGGGCTCCACCCTGGGTATGGAGCCTACTTAAAAAAATAAATTAAAAAAAATATAAATATATATATTTATATAAATAAATAAATGGGGGGGGTGCCTGGGCGGCTCAGTCACTCAAGCCTCCAACTCTTGATTTTGGCTCAGGTCACGATCTCAGGGTTGTGGGACTGAACCCCAGATTGGGCTTGCGCTGGGCATGGAGCCTGCTTAAGGTTCTCTCTCTGCCCTTCCCTGCCCTCTAAAAAATAAATTAAAAAAAATTAAAATTAAAAAAATTTTTTAAAAAATTGGTCTGTGTATATTCTTGACAAGTAATTTCACACCTGCGCTGCGGCTCATCTACAAGGACTTAGCATAAGGCTAGTCAGTGCACATGGTGTTTAATAGTGAAAAACTATGAACTATCTACACACCCAACTATTGGGAAGTGCTTGAATTAGGCTACATCCATAACGGAACACCATGCAGTGGTTAAAAAGCATAAAGGAGGAGCGTCTGGGTGGTTCAGTTGGGTTAAGCATCTGCCTTTGGCTCAGGTCATGATCCTGGGGTCCTGGGATCGCGTCCCACATCGGGCTCCCTGCTCAGCAGAGAACCTACTTCTTTCTTTGCCCCTGCCCTCCCCCTCCTCGTGCTCTCTCTCGTTTACTCCCTCTCTAAAATAAATAAATAAAATCTTAAATTAAAAAAAAGCATAAAAGATCTAGTCATACTGACAAGGCAGATCACAATAGATTATTAGGTGAAAAAAAAGCAAGTTGTAGAAGATATCAAGCATGCTTCCATTAACTTAAAAAATCTACTTAAAAAAATGAGGAAATACTTAGGTAACAAGATGAAAATGTAATTATCACACACTATCCAGAGATAACCATTATAAATTAACATTTTAGTGTGTAGCCTTCCACACATTTTCCATGCATGCACACATTTTTAGCAAAAAAGGGGGGAGCAGGGCGCCTGGGTGGCTCAGTTGGTTAAGCAACTGCCTTCAGCTCAGGTCATGATCCTGGAGTCCCGGGATCGAGTCCCACATCGGGCTCCCTGCTCGGCAGGGAGCCTGCTTCTCCCTCGGACCCTCCCCCGTCTCATGCTCTCTCTCTATCTCTCATTCTCTCTCTCAAATAAATAAATAAAATCTTAAAAAAAAAAGGGGGGGGAGCAAAAGGAAGATTCCGGCTGGTAACCAGCTTTCTTTTTTCTCAACACATTTTGAACAATTTCTTATAGCAATATAAAGAGACCATTATTATAATTTGTAATAGCTGTATACTTTTTCACTGAGTGGATTTAACGTTATTTAAAGTTTCCTACTGATGGGCATTTATGTTGTCCTTATTTATTTAAGAGAAGAACTCCTACTTGGAATGGAAATACACACTCTCTTTCCCTCTCTCTCTCTAGGTATCTCCAATTATCTCTAGGGGGTAGGAGTAAAGAGTTTCATTTACAAGGGTCAAACAGCAGCACATCTATTATCTTTTATAATCAGCAACAAAATAAATTTGCTTTGAAAAACAGTACAGGCAGGAAGAAGGGAAAAGAAAAACTGAAACAGAAGAGGAAACAGCTATGAGCTCAGATTGAGGACTGGTGCGTACGCGCACTGGATGAGGGCTGTACTCACCTGATACCAAAGACACAGTGGATGTAATTCCAGATGGCCCTGCGGAGCATGGAGGTGTCTACTCCACTGTGCATGGCGATGGTGTTGTAGGTAAGGCTATAAGCTGCCTGGAACTTTTCATCCAGCAGCTGCCCACCCTCAGGGTAAAGCCGCTGGATCAGTGAATAGCCATGGTCTTCCCAGGTATAATCCTGAGAAACGTGGGAAGGGGTCAGGGAATAGAATCTTGGGGGCCCAAGGCTGGCCATAGGGACCCCATCCTCTGGCGTACAACTTTGCTTTCCATAGTGTTGTCTTTCCAGCCCCACAAATCTAACCTGCTGCTTGGTCGGGGCCTAAGAAGCCAAGGAGAATGTACCTTGGTGATCTTCTCCCTGTGATCAGGATCTCCTGAGCTTAGGGCACAGATGGGTCCTATTATGATCTAGGGTCTCCCATTTCCCACATGGAATCTTGAGGGAGAAGGTGCCCGACTCTCTAACCACTCAAACCATCCACCCCCTGCTTGTCTGTAAATCCAGAGCAATGCCAAGAATAGCCTGGAGAGCCTACCTGGGCACGGAAGGTGGGGGGCGCTTCAGCCCCTCGCCGGGTGAAGTCCTCATATCCAAAAGTGGGGTCCTCCACAAAGCATAGCATGTCTGGGTGTGGAGAGGGCTCCAGGATGTCAGCTAAGGATGTCAGTAAGAAGCCACAGTGAGGCCAAGGCATGGAGTGTAGGGCATCTACTCCTGATTAATCAATAGGTGGCTGGGGGGAGATGAGGCAGGCCCATGGACCTGGCGGGTAAGGCCTCCGGTAATAATAATAGCAACCCTAACAACAGTAGTCATTTATGCAGCCGCTTACTCTGTGCTAAGAGCTTTGCTTCCACTGTCCCATTTACCCCACAAACCAATCCTTCACATGGGAGGAGACAGGAGGCCCTGAGATAGGAAGTAATTAGGGGTTGCATTGCCAGAAGGGCTGACGGGTCACGATTCAAACCCAGGTCTGACCCTGCAGCCCATGCTCAGAACCTCTTAGAAGTGGTTGAGACATGGCTGCCTCCAAAATACAAGAGACGCCGTGCACGGAGTTACCTACTCCCCAGTGGAGATGGTGTAGGAAGGGGGCAGTCCCTGGACCCTGGGATGCCTATGATCCTGTACCTGAGGGAGTCACCAGAAGGCTCTCTGACTTCTCCAGCTCAAAGCGGCTCTCCATCTCCTCCTGGGATGCTCCCTCATCCCGTAACAGGCTCTCCTGCAGCTGCCTCATGCGTTCCATCAAAGCTTCCACGTCCCGGGCAGCCTCAAAGCCCTGGAGGAGGGACCCAGTGGTGATGGTTTACTCCTCGGCCCCAGGAAACTCCACACATCCTTCCCACAAGCCAGCCCTTCCTGAGTGATTGCAAAGGCCTACTGCTCCTGAGGCAGTCTCTGTGCCGTGGGCGGCTGGCACGGTCTGTGTTTTCCAAAACGAAGTTACGGGACAGGCACGTCTTCTCTGAGCATCAACTTCTCTCTCACAGGAAAGGGATTGTTAAAATATCTATAATTTTATACTAAAACAAACAAGACCACCTTACAGAGTAAGAGGCAAACTTTGTAAAGTGCTAATACCCAGGAGACCTTAAGCCTATGATGCAACATGCTGAGGGGCCCACCACGAGGTTATTTCATTTAATCCTCACAACCACCACGATGTAGGGGTTTTTAGCCTCATTTCACAGATGAGCTAACTGAATCTCAAAGTCAACTAACTTTTCTGAGGCCTCTCAGTCCATCCGAGGACCAGAGGCCATGCTTGCTTCCTCTCCCCACAAGACCCAGGCCCATGACTTACCCCAGAGTTGTTCATTGGGTCCCTGCTGGGGGGGCTGCTCTGCTCACTGGGGGGTGAAGGGGCCTGGGGGGCAGGGCTGCCTTCCGAGTCCCCCTCAGGGAGGATGCCACAGCCAAACACGAAGGAGGCCAGTGAGTGGCAGTGGGTGAGCAGGACCAGGGCCTGGATGAGCTCCGCCAGAGACCAGCTGTGCTCGCCCGTCTTCAGCAAGGCCTAGAGAGGAAAGAAGGCCAGACTTGCTCAGTGCCTGGCCCTGGGCTGATTGCCTGACATGCCCCAGCCCGGCCCCTGTGCTCCCTGTGCCTCTCTGCCCATGGCACCTGGATGTGCTCCTTGGTGATGAGCCACGGCCGGTGTGCCAGCAACTTGTTGATCTCACTGAGCTTGCGGAGCTTCTCCGGGGCCCGATGGAGACCAAGCAGCCACTCTGGGTCACCGCCAGTCTGCAGGAACTCAGCCATGTGGGAACCCACCAGGTAGGAACACTGGTGGCGGGCGGCAGCCTGTGGAGGGGGTGGATAGAACCTTGTTCAGGGCGGATGACCCACAGAGGGAGAAATCGCAGGCCTCACTGTTGCCAGGGAGGCAGGACACTTAGGTCCTAACCCAGCTCCGCTAGTTTGCTGTCCTCCTTGGGCAGGTCACCTGACTCTTTTGTGCCTCGTTTCCTGATTCTGACTAAAAATGCCTCTCTGGGGCGCCTGGGTGGCTCAGTTGATTAAGCGTCCAACTCTTGATATCAGTTCAGGTCCTGATCTATCTCAGGGTCGTGAGTTCAAGCCCTGCATTGGGCTCCATCCTGGGTGTGGAGCCTACTTAATTAAAAAAAAAAAAAAAAAAAAAGCTTCTCTTCAGAATCCAAAATTCTGTGGATGATCAGATAAAGTTAGGCTTTCCTCTGCTCTGGGTGGCCTCTCCTCCTGGCCTATGAAATGAATTCAGGAAGCACCCAGCAAAGAGATCTAAAGCCCAAATTCCCCCATGTGGTCAACCGTACAAGAGCTGGGCTCAGACAGGCTCACCATGATGGCAATGTAGTGGCGCCAGGAGCTAGCCAGGGGCCCGTCCGTGTGCAGCAGGAAGTAGTGCAGGCGCCAAAAGCAGCTAAGGTAGTCAGGGTGGAGGCCCATCACCACCGCCAGGTTGTCCACCCGGCCCGAGGACATCAGTGCCTCCAGCCGCAGGTGCTGCTCCAGGCTCTCTGCGCCCTCCTGAAGGACCTGCCAAGCAAAAGGGAGAGGGTGGGTTCCCATCCTGCACTCCACGCCAAAGAGACCAACGTGTTGATCGCGGTGGGGCTACTATAGCCAAGAAACTAAAAATGACCGCCATGTCCAAAAAAAGGAAAATAGGGGAGGAAAAGATAATTCATTACATGATTTCAAGGTTACAGATCTAGCAAATGACAGAACGTGGATTCAAATCCAGATTAGCACCAAAGCCTATTTATTTCCTGCATTATAAAAGAGGACCGGTTATTTACAAATGAAAAAAATAAAATACAAGAACAATACCTGAGCTGAAAATTCCCCGCTAGATATAAATAATCAGCAGGTGGTTGTTTGCTTTCCATTTACAAAGGGTGGAGAAGGAACTGGGGGAGGGGGGTAGGTTAGACATTTGTTAACAGCTCATTAACTACTTGGCTACACATTTAGGAGAGCAAACAGGATGACAAAACATTTGTTTTTGTTCACTGAAGGCCAAAGAAATAGGAGGAAACTATTATTTTAAAAATTTTTCTGCGCATGTATTTTGAAGGTATCCCTGCCACCACCAACCCCATGCTAGAATGTCAGCTGCGCGATGGCAAGGATTTTTGTCTGTCTTTTTCTATGCTGTATCCCCAGCACCTACAACAGTGCCTGACAGAGATTAATCATTCAATCGATGTCTGTTAAATAAATGAATGAATGATCTGACTCAGTGCATGAATGATATCTCTTGTATTAAGTGACAAAAATAAAGAATATGACAATAACCCCCTCCGCCAAATGTTGTAAACTATGACCTTGGTTCATATGACAAAAAGTCCAAGAAACAGTGATAAACGGTTAAGTAACAGTGATTACCTCTGTGGGAGGTGAGATTATAGGAGACGAGAGCTTTCCGAGACATTAACAATTTTCTTATAATGAATATAATATTACTTTAGAAGTTGAAAAAAAATGTCATATATGTATAGTCAAGGAAGAGCAGTTAATACAGATAGTTCTATCTTCTTAAAGAAGAACAGGCCTTGTTCTGGGAACCAAAAGTTTGTTCATTACCTAGCTGTGTCATTATCTCTTTATCTTTATCTCTTTGAGTCTGTTTCTTCCCAGCAACGTGGGGTTGATATGCATGCTTCACAGAGCTGTTTGTGGGTTAAGTGAGTCAGGAACCTGAAGTTGCTATTTCAAGAGACAGGAAAAGACCCCTGTCCACACAATGTGCCATGTCCTTTCTTCCCAGGGACCAAGAATTCCTAACCCCTTCCAAGCTTACCTCCTCTACCGGGATGAAGGCACTGGGCCCTCGAGGGCCTCGCCGAGCCCGGCTTTCCCTCTGCTCCTAGAAGGAAACACATCATGGTTATTGGAGGTAAGAGGGAGGACTGGGAGTACAGTTATCTCTCCAGCTTTCTCCTTCTACCCAATGGGCCCCACTGGGCTTTTAAAACCACCCTTTTGGTACACCCCGCGTGGAGGAATCAGGTGGGAGATATACACCTGTTGGCAGGTGGAGAAAAGGTAAGCAAGAAAGAGGGCTCACCCCACAGGCTGAGTTCTTCAGGAACTGGGCAGGGACCCAGGAACCCCAGGGGCATAGGGACGGGAAATATACAGCCACCATGGTGCACATCTCTCTAGGAGGCCACCGTTTTAGCAGCCCTGGAGATCTCATACAAGAAACCCCCTCGTTTGCATCCTGCAGCCAGGTTAGCAGGTACCTTAGATTTCTATGATACAGCCTCAACTGCTCTCCAATTGTCACTTCTTCATCTCTCCCACCACCACCACCTCATAGACTATAACCATCTCTTGTCTGGACCGCCGCCCACAGCCTCACCAATGGTCTCCCTGCCTCCCCTGCCCTGCCCTCTCCTACCAATCCTCTCCCAGATTAACAAAACAAATGAATAAGGAAAACATCCTCCCTGAACTACACCTCTAGAACTAGGAGCACATGCAGTGAGTCCATGACACTGGTGGTTTCTAGGAGGGCAAATTTCTGCAGCCAAAGGAAATTTTCTCAAGTGCAAATCTGATCAACTGGCTTAAAACCCCACCTCTAGCTCCCATAGCCTTCCAGGTAAATCAGTGGTTCAGCCCTACTGTTCTCCCACTGGTCACTCCTTTTGCAAAACTAACTCATAGTCTTCTAGGGTCTGGGAACCTCCTTCTGACCCTCAGCTGTGACCCTACAATTCCTGGTGCTTTTGCTTCTGAAAACATTGTCTTGTAATTGTCTGCTGCCAGATCACATTTTGTGGAGAGCAGGGCCAGGTCACTCACACCAACCTGTGAATCAAGAAAACAGAGAAAGCAGAGCAGAGTGGAGGGAAGGCTGACAGAAGCAACTATTCTGATGCCATGTATTGGAGGAGCCTCTTCAGAAACCATCAGTCATGTACCCACTAAATCTGCTCCTAGTCTGAGAGGTGGGGTTCAGAGAGGATGTTTTATTTATTCATTTGTTTTGGTAACTGGGAGGGGACTCTCAGTCCTGGCTTTGGAAACAGCTTACCCAAACCAGAGTCATGCCCTCACTGGACAGAGACAGTGTCCCCCTAACGCTCCCCTCCTCATCGGGAACCAGACCGAGTACCAATCCCTAGGGTTCCAGGGACTTAAGATTATAATTGAACCTTCCTTCTCAGATGGCCAAAGACCCCTGAGGGAGGCAGAACTCTGGGACTCTCAAAGACCACACAGAAAGAACATATGGGATCTGGAAGTCCCAGGTCAGAGTACCAATTCTGCTACTAACTTGCTGTGTGACTTTAAGAAAGTGACCTAGACTCTCTGGGCCTTAATCTGGGACAAAGAAGGTAGCTGGGCTAATTGCTCAGGCCCCTTTCAGCCCACACTTCTGGAAGTTACCAGGCCAGGCCGGTCCAAGTCCAGCACAGAAATCCCAGCAATCTCTAAGTACTCTTTCAGCTTCCCTCCTCCCTCACCGGAGAAAAAAAGCCCAACAGCTCTGTCTAGGAGGAGATAAGGACTGCTGACTCCACAATCTGGGCCTCTCCCTCAGGGGACCCGAGGACAGATAGAAAACCACAGCCTGGGGGGGGGGAGAGTGCTGGAGGAGGGGGACCTCGAGGGTCCCCCCAGGGTGCCGGGGAGGTACAGGGAACAGCCTTGGGAACCCCTTCTTACTCTAAAATTTGCCCCAGGACCTGTCAAGGCAAGGAACTGATACCTGTGGGTCTTTAGGTGGTAAATCTGCACCCACCATTTTCAGTCGTGATGATGATGGTGATGGTGACAGCCATGATAATTACAGAGTACATTTATAAGATAGGAGCTCTTGGCCCAGAATACCTGGGCTCACGTGACAACTCCACCACCTATTATCTGCTACTTATGGGAGCCTCAGTTTCCCTATCAAATAATGGGGATAACAGTACCCACTTTCACTGGGCAGTCACGAGGATTTAATGAGATAATGCCCCTACAGCCTTTACCTCAGTACCTCTATCACCAGAAGCACTTAATAAAAGTCAGCAGTCAGCGATCATTAACCTCGGTGTAATTTCAAACAAGGGATTTTCAGCCGGAGCAGTACAAAGCCCCTTTGAAAAGCTTTTAAAAAGATGCCAACGCCAAGGTCCCACCTCCAGCAATTCTAATTTAATTGGGTGGGGCCCAGCATAATTTACAGCCAAGGTGGAGGGCCACTGTTTCACACCCTTTATTGATCATTTTCTCAAGTATAAGGCACTATGCTAAGTGCTTTCCAGGTGGGAACAGAATTAATTTGTTCATTCAACAAGTATTTTTGATGACTACAACGCGGGCAGCTAGACACAGGACTGAAAAGACAGGCTCAGCCTTCACAGAATTTATGATCTAAAGGAGAATGACAGATGATGAATAGGGTTTCAAAGCACAGATTGTATAAAGTAAATGAAATAGAGCGACAAGAGTGTATGATGGGCTGGGGCTGCACCATATATTAGTCTGAGGAGACAAGGAAAGCTACTGGGGAGGTAACCTTTGTGTTATCTAAATATCAAATATCTAAAAGAGTTGATGAGAAGGCAGCAGGGCCCATAAAGATCTAGGGGACCAGCATTCCAGCCAAAGGGAGCAGAAAATACAAAATCCCAAAGGCAAGACCACGTAGATTCCAATCCAGAGCTGCAATACCCTGAAAGCGTCTCTGACCCTGACACCCAGAACTTTAGGGGAAGTAGACAGGGCAGGGTCCCACTGCCAAGGGATGATACCTCTAAATCAGCCCTCCCCTATTTTCTGGGGTAGGAAGTCATACTAACAATGGTAGGTAGCACCACCTAGCATCAGCTAGGCATTTTGCTGCACTTAAAGGTAGTAGGATCTACTACTACTGCTAGGGCTCCCATTTTACAGAAGATGATTGAGTTTCAGCGAGGTCAAGTCAGGCTTTGCACCTGGGGTTCACCAGGAGCTCCTCCTCCTTGCTCCTCCGTTCCCTGAGATCCACTGCTCCTAGACACGGCACCTGCATACTGTGTTTTTCCTTACTTGGAGGGCACACACTGGATCTAGAGCTAGAGCTGTTCTCCCAGTAACACTTTAGTCAGAGGGCCCTCTCGGTGGCCACTGCGCGGGGAGGGCTTCAGGCCAGTTGTAAAAAGAGGATAATCACCCCTCAAGCTCAGTGCCTGGCACCTAATTTAAACACTCGCTAAATCTTATTTTTTATATTAGCTCAGGCATTTGCACACAGGTTCCAGCTACTCTTCATCAGTTTTCGGGTGGGGGTAGGGGTCTCTATGTTGCATCCAAGGAAGGATTAAGATTCCAAAGTTTAAGCACCAGCCGACAAGTGGCCAGCCTGAGATGTGAGCTCAGTTCAGTTTGGCTTCCAAGGGTTCTGTCCACCACCCACATCAGCCTCTTGGAGTAGCCCCAGTCTTTATTCTCAGTATCCTATCCAGAGCCTGCAACCCCCCAGGACTCAGCTACACACACCTATGAAGTCACTCTGCCAGCCGGGAAGGGGCAGAGACTCCCCATACCCCACTCCACGGGCAGCTGTCTGCAGAACTTACGTACCTGCCTGACTTTACACAGGAGACGGAGATGTGTAGCCCAAGCAGCCTCTTACCTCCAGCCTTGGAGCGAGGGGGTGTGAGTGGCGCCATGGGCTGGGCACTAGGCTAAGTGCTTTACACATATGATCTCGCTGCTTTCTCACAACTACCCTGAGGGAAATAGGGCTTATTGTTCCTTCTTCAGAGACAGCTCGCTGAGGCTCTTTCTGAGCCCTGCTCCAGACTGCAGAGCTCAGATCTGACTTTGAAGCACGCACAGGTCGCGAGGGTCAGTTAAGCCAACAAGGGGTAAAGAGTTAGGAGCACTTCTTAGGTGCTAAGAACAGTGCTGGGGATGTGACCTACAGAATGTTTCTAGTCTAGCAAAGGAGACACACAACATGCCGACCACAGGACTGTTAGACACTATAATTGGGATTAAAGCCCCAGCCATTGAGAAGAGGGACTGAAAAGGTGTATGCACAAGGGACTTCTGGGGGGGGGGGAAGGGAAAGCTTCCCTGAGGAAGTGGTGTTTGAGGAAGTGATGCTAGAGCCCAAGAGGGCTCTATATACATACTACCAGTCCTAGAGTGAAGTCCGAGAGTCCATAGGCCTTGACCCCTTTAGGTTAAGGGCATGTGGTGAAGTGATGGGAGTTGAGGGCCTTGTACATCTGAGTGCCCCCTTGGGCAACAGGCTCTGTAAGTTCAGCGCCCTACTGTCTTCTAAGGATTCGGCTTAAAGCAGACATCTTCCCAAGGTCCTCTTTTTCTTGAGAGAGAAGAGTATGTGGAAAGAGTGCAGATACCACCATCTTTCCCTTGCTGTTGACAAGTGGCTCCCATCTAGAGGCCACTCCCTTAGAGCCGGCCCAGACCACCTAGGGCACTCACTTCTCCCCAAGCCACTTCCCAGAGAGGGATGGGCCAACTCTCACCTCAGGCAAGAGGGACAGGTTCAGGCACCCCATTGTGACACACTCTGGGGAAAGGGAAATGACCACATTCTAACGATACCCAGCATCTCTGACTCAGTTACTATGTTCCAGGCACTGTGCTTTAGCCTTTGCTTGTATTCTGTCATTTCTCCCAACAATCCTGAGAGATACTATCAAATCTCCACGGGAAGAAATTGCAGACAGGAGAAATGATCACTTGGCCAAGGTCACACAGCAAGTGAATGGGAGGGCTGGGATATGTGTTCTCAATAATAATACGACTCCGCCTAACCCCCCCCCCCCAGAAAGAAATGGACTCTGAAGTGACCCGGTTAAAGCCACTCATCAGAGAAATGACAGGAGTGGGTTTCATTCTTCCACCTGGGGTTCTTAAACCATGGAGGTTTATGCAGGGTAAACAAGCTCACAGAAAACCCAGGACACAAACCATCCACCGCTGGAGGTAGGACCCCTAGAAACCAAGCGGCTCAGAGAAGAGCAGCGATTTTCCCAGGGTCACACAGTTTAGGACTAGCACTTGTCGCACTCCCAGGCCCAGCAAGACACTTGCACCATGCTCCAGGCCTGGAAACTAAAATAGACAAAACTCTCTGTAGTGCCAAGCACACTAGGGAATTCCTAGAGATGCCCAGGCCAAAGAATGAGCTACGTGGTCGGGCTAGTGAAGGAATTCTCTCCACAGCCCCTCCTAGACCTCAATTTCCTCATTCTGGGAAATGGGGCTATAGTGTAGCTCCTATTTTGCTAGTTTAGTACAAAGGACTCAGAAAAGGCAAAACCCGGAGACCAGCATCTAGTAGGTGCTCAAGAAATGATAACATGTTCGTTGTCGGTGGTGGTGGTGGTGGTGGTGGTGGTGGTGGTGGTGATGGGAGTGGGGAGGAGGCAGGAGGTGTGTCAGATTAGGCCCAGCCCATTCCTAGCTTCACTGCAGAGTCCCTGCGAAACAAACTTCTGCGACCTCAGACCGCTTAGTAGGGCGCAGCCTAATCCGCGCTTGCCTTCGGGAGCCCCGTCCAGGGTTTCTCCCCTTTTCCCCCAGCTTCGGCCGCCGCGTACCCCGCAGCCAGCCAAGGCCCCGGAACGCCCGCGCTCCCCCGCTTCAAATCGGGGGTGCAGGTGTGGGCGGGGGACGAGGTCGACCTTCACTGGCAAGTCCCAGGTGCCTCAAACCCCGCACTGGGAGATTGGAATGGGGACGTATCCTAGAAAGAGTCCTCCGCCCGCCAGCCCCAGCCTAGAGGAAGGGAATCTGCGGAAGGGGGCGGGGAGGAGGAGTGGTCGGGCCGCAGCGGCCGGGATTTGCCTGGACTTGAAGATTCTCTCGTCAAGAGCCCAAACCCAGGATAATCTCGAGAAGGCCCCCCTCTCATTGGCCAGGAGTCCGAGGGAGCCAGGGAAGGTTCCACAGCCCCGGGGGGAGGGGGAAGGGAGGGGGCGGGGAGGGCCGAGACAGCCAGTTGATGCAACCCCATTCCTAGGTTACGCGCTCCACTCCCCCCTTCCCCGAGCCCCGGGCGTTGTGGAGGGGTGGGGGGGTGCGCACAGACTCAGCTCGGGATAGCCCGAAGCTCGGCCGCAGCTCGGGGCTCAAGGGAAGAGTGGCGTCGCTCGGCCGCTGCTTACCTCTCCGGCCCCGGGGCCGCCGCCGCCACCGCCCGGGGCGAACGGCAGGTAGCCCTTAAGCTCTGCGCGGCACTCGGAGTCTGCAACGATCATGGTGTGTGCCAGGATCCGGCCACGGCTCGCCGGCGACCCGTGCACCCAGGGGGTTTGGAACGGACGCACACAGGAAGCCGGGATTGGGGGCCGCTGGGGAGGTTCTAGAGCCCCGGGGTGTCTCTCGGGGTTCCAGAACGCTCCGAAAGCCCAGAACCCGCGAACAGCCGCTCCTCCGCTGGACTCTCCCCTCGGCCGGCTTCTGGAACGGTGAATGGACTCAGGAGCCTGGGATTGGCCACGGCCCAGGGGTTTTCACGGCCCGGAGTGCCTCGGAAGTCCGCAGTGGCCACGGCTGCTCGCCACCCCAGCCCTCTTCAGCATCCCCGCCGCGGAACTGCCAGCGCTCGCCGGGCTCTGACACCAGCAGCGCCGCTCAGCCTGCTGCGGTCCCCGGGGGAGGGCGGGGACACAAAAGCCTCGCGCCGCAGCCAATCAGGTGCCTGTTTCCCGGGGAGGCGGGGGCGACACCGCCCCCTGGAGCCGACTGCTCGGCCAATCGGCACCGGGAAGAGCCCGGGAACTCTGGGAGCTGTAGTCAGCCCCGGATGAATGCTGCAAACTTTTGCAAAAGGGTTTAGTCAGATTGTTGGCAATATCAGCCTAGAGTGACAGCCAAGAGAGTCATTAGGGCTGCGTGATGAAACGGGACTTCACCGGGCTGGGCCGGAGAGCCGGGTGTGAAATCCCTCCCAAGTACGTTCTTCAGCTTTTCAGTTCCTGCAGGGACTGGTTAGGGTTAGGAGAGCTGGTGCTAATTACAGAGCTGAACCCCAGGTCTTTGGAGATTAGAGGGCACAGCCCTGTCCCCCTGGCCTCCGGGAGAGCTCCACCTTAAATTGTACCAGGCATGGGGAATCCATCTTAATTGTGGAGTCCCTGGAAAAGCCATTCATCGAAAGGTCCTTGGCAACGCCATGTCTAACCTCAATCCCTATGCTGCAGTTTCCTCTCTTCTGCTTCCTTGGGGCCTCCTCCAGTCCTATCTTCCAGCCCTGCCACTCCCTTTCTAGAAACTTTGAGACAAGGTGTTCCTGGGTCTTTTCTCACCTCTCTCTCTCTGGCCACTCCTTCTCTGACTCCCTGGAACGTGGGTGTTCCCCAGTTTCTGTTTTTATCCCTCCTCTCTCCAGACACTCTGGCCCTCCCTGATCTCATCCATTTCCTGGGCTTCAGTGTTCCATTTGGGAGTAAGTTGCTTCCACCAGCACCTCAGGACCTCAAAGTGAATTCATCTCCTGTTCCCTTCCCACAGTCTCTTCCGTCAGTTTTTCTTTAGACCTTCATGTTTTGTTTCCATCTAAAAGTCGCTGTTTCCTCTGGATAGAGAATCCTGGGTGGGCCAGATGACCTCCAAATTTCCCTCTGAGACTTTCTGAGACTTACCATTCCAAGGATGACCCTCTGATTTGGTCTCCTGCCTCCAGCTCTTGGAAGAGGGAAATGAATGTCACCCTCTGCGGGGCAACAAAGGCACTTGGGCTGGGGCTCTATTATAACACCTATCCCACTCTACTTTGTATTGTAATTTTCTGTGTACATGTCTTATCTGACCCTCTTGATTATAAGCTCCTTAAGGGCAGGGTCCATGTCTTGACATCTTTGTCTCTGCCCTAAGCCACCTAGGGTGTCCTGCCAATTATATGCCCTTGGTGACTGAATCTTTCTTTGAATCGAATCCCCCTCTAAATTAGCATATGTCAGATTCGGATTTCATTGTTTTGAAGATTTTATTTATTTATTTTGAGAGAGAGAGCACGAGCGGGGTGGGGGGGGCAGAGGCAGAGGGAGAGAGAGACAATCTCAAGCAGACTCTTTGCTGAGCGTGGAGCCTGATGTGGGGTTTGGCCCCACAACCCTGAGATCATGACCTGAGCTGAAATCAAGAGTCGGACACCCAACTGACTAAGCCACCCAGGTGCCCCCAGATTTCATTTTTAAAACCTACTTTGTAATATCAATGTTTAAAGATTTATTGATTGATTTGAGAGAGAGGAGTAGCAGAGGGAGTGGGAGAGAGACTCTCCAGCAGATACCCCGCTGAGTGCGAAGCCTGACACAGGGCTTGATCTCAGGACCCTGGGATCATGACCTGAGCCAAAATCAAGCATCAGACACTCAACTGACTGAGCCACCCAGGCACCCCTGTAATGTCAATATTTAGATCAGAAAGTTTTACCGGTATTTCATCAGCTACAAAATAAAGGTCAAACCTCTAGATTGACACCTATATCTGCCAAGATCTACCTCAGTCTACCTTTCCAGTCTTATCACCTTCCACATCCATGTTTCTTGTTTGGCCTTCAAACCTTTCTTCCAGCAGTTCTCTCTGCAAATCTCTGCCCACGGAAATCCTACCCAGCATTCAATGCTTTCATGCGTGTTTGTGGCCTGAATGAAGCCTTCAAAATGCCACTTCCTACAGAAAGGGTTGCTTTTTCAGCTCAGCTGAAAATAATCTCTTCCACTCCCCCACTCCTCAACACATTGTTTCCACCTCTTTCTACCACTGATCTCCAAATTCTATGCAGCCTTGTATTATCTCTGTGTGTCTTACCCCTTCCTTCTAACTCAAAATGGAAGATGTTACTGATCACTTTTGCAAAGTGAGGAAACTTGAGCTCAAAAAAGGTAAAGCTTCATGTCAAGGTCATACCATATCTTCTTTTGACTGCACCAGGCTATGCCAGAGCTCCTTTGAGGCAGTGTCTAAGGGTCTTTGTATCCTCCATTAGCATGTGGTGGGTCCTCAGCAAATATTTTTGAATGAATAAATATGAGTGACACTCCTCTGTAGAATAATCCCTTAGAATCTTCAAGGGAGCCACTAAATCATTCCCATGACTTCACTTACAAAGTTAGTGATTTTGTGAAAAGGAAAAGCAAAGGATACTGATATTCTCAATTTGATGAGCTCTTGTGACCCAGTCTCCAAGGAAGGAAAGCTCAGAAGAGGCACAGATACTACCATTTACTGGGCTCCAACAGTAGTCCAGGATATATTTATTATCTCATGTAACTCTGACCACAATCTGGTGAGGTATGCATTATGCCCCCATTTGACTGATCCGAGGAAACTGAGGCTCAAGAGGTTTGTTGGCCAAGATAGCTTAGTAATGCATTGAGTAAGGATTTCAAACCCAGGCAGAAATGACTCCAAAGCAGAAACTACACACACCATAGATGAGACAAGGACCTGAACTGTAAGAAGCAAGCTGGCACGAGGAAGTAATGCATAAAGCAGAATTACAATATATTAATTGGGAGTGACAAATGTAATTGTCAAGTGGCCTATAATTGGTGGGCCAGCACATCCCTCTTTATAGGACAGCCTCCATGAAAAGCCAAGTTACCATCTGAAAGGGGCTAGGGCAGTTGAAATCTGAGCAAAAGAAACCAGTGAAAAGATGAATCACTGAACCAGCTCCACTTAGAGCAAACCTGCTGGTCAGGGCTCCTGCTTCTTCTCTCTCTCTTTAATTCAGTAAACATTTATTGACCAGCTAGTGTATACCAAGCTCTGACCTGGGCTCTGGAAATCCCGCAGTGAAGATGCTTGCCCAGCAAGGCATGGCCTGGTGACACAGGCTGGGCTTATTCCTCCCCTCCCCCACACCTTGTATTTTTGGTTCAGTAAAGATCTCCACCTCCTGTTGCCATACTCGCTCGACTCTTGCATCAGCTATGTTGAGGCCACTGATTGGCCAAAGCTTTTTTTATTCTTCAATCACATTCCAGCCCCGAAGATACATCTAGATTGGATTTGAAATGTTTTTGAGGTTTCTTCAGCTTCAGACCCTCTCACAGATTTTAACCCTAATGGGATTCTCATCTGTTCTGTGTTCATTCTTCCTGAATTAATTTTCTAATCCCAAATTCTAGAATCGCTTTGCTATAATAACCTTGTACCCTGACCATACCTGGGGCTGTGATTTATCACCCCAGCTGTAATTTTCTGAGCTCTTTTTACTGTTTTCACTGCCCCCCCATCTCAGAATACAATTCCTGCCTTGAGGGAACTTTCAGGAAAGATACCTAACTCCAACTGGTTTGATAAATCAGAACCACCCTCCATGGCTCATTCACACATTGGTACATTTAATTACTCATTACGCAGGCATTATGCTAGGTGCTGAGGAAGATCCTGCTGGCTGACAGGTCTCTGCTGTCAAGCCTTACAACCAAAATTGAAATTGTCCCTTGGAGTTGTGCATTAAGGGGTAGGACTGCCACAGACTCTAGGAAACATAGCCAACTGTCTCCTAAGACCACTGCCCAGGAGTCAGGCACCTAGGGTGCTAGATTTTAGCTATGCGACCTAAAGTGATTTTTTTTCTTTCTTTTTTTTTTTTTTAGCTTTTAGAATTTGTTTCCTCATCTGTAAAACAAAGGAACTGAAATGAGCTCCAACCCTTCGGAGCCACTGTAGAGAGGACTCGTGCTGGGCAATGCGTATAATTCAGTTTCATCAATTGTATACTGTGGACAGAAACGATCAGGTTTCAAAAGCCTCACCCCTCTTAATAAAATACAAAAACTGACCAGCTGGGTGCTTTGGAATAATTCACGAAGAATTTCAGTTTGGTTTTGTTGGCTGAGCGAGCCTTGGGCGCCCCCTGCAGGCAACACTCTGCCACAGTTCAGACCCGACTGGGCCAAAGGATGGCTTGAAGGCCACCCCAAAACCATTTTAAGTTTATAGGATTGTCAGGTCCCATGTCACCGCGTAAAGGTCCTGAAAAGAGTCCAGGCAACAGCTAAATAAATTCGTGTGGTTGCTGAGGATTCCTTTGATGCCAGCAGGGACCAGACTCCCAAAAGACCTCCCAGCCTGAATGTACTTCCCGTTGTTCTGACTTACTCTTTCATCTTACAGGCAGGAAGCTTGAGGGCCCCCAGAAAGTTAGTCACAGGGCAGAGACTAGAACCTTTGTCCAAGCCCCCACTGCAGGGTCACTTGCACCATTATAGGCTGCCCTGGTGCAAGCCTATAGCCTCACTTTTCCAGAAAAAAAAAAATTGATTTTGCTCTTCTGTTCTCTCCCTCTTTCCCTCTCTTCTCCACTCCTAGAAACCCTACACTTCCCATTTTCAGACAGTCGCCCTGAGGTCTGTCCTTGGAGTAATGTCTCTGGCCCTTGTCACCATCCTGTCCCAACTCCTCCTACTGAAAGACTTCTCTACCCACTCCCCCCAGAAAATAAGTTGGACTTGGAATCAGGATATCGGAATTCAAGCTTCAGTTCTAACCCTTTCTAGCTGTGTGCACCTATGCAAGTCACTTCACTTCTCTCAAACTCAGTTTCCTACTGTGTAAAAGGGGGCAATCAAGTTTACTTCCACAGGGGCTGTTGTGAGGATGAGAGCTAACGCATACAAATTCCTTAACAAGGCTTGA